AAAAAAAAACTTGCCCTGTGTTCTAACTTCACATCCCCTGAGTTCAGGAATGGACTGGTCCAGTCTATGAAGTGAGCTGGTCCATTGCGACCAAGTGGGGGAGAGTGGAGTGATGTATTTTTGCACTCAGGGCGTTGTTTTTCAGCATCATAGAATAGAATCGAAAAAAGAAAATACTTGCCAACATTGGTTTTTATAGAGAAAAGTTTGATATACTAAAAAAGAAAAATCATGCTAACATAATCCTAAAGATTAGTAATATCTGATATCCAATCTCAACCAAAAAACATATTGATGTTATATAGCAAATCCTTTCACTATTATAGTCTCAAATCATGATATATATATGTTAGATTATATGTTTTTGTTTTGTAGAACAATTTATGTTTCTGTAACAAAACACTGGCATTCTGTATTTCAAACATGGAGCTGGTTCAGCCGTTTTCTTTTACAGTCTATATTACTGCATTTATATTGAGAACACCTACTTCAGTATTTTTTTATACAAAAAATAGTGGGTAGGTGTCTAAAATGGGTTGAAAATAAGTATGTTTAAAATTGTGAATACATGAGAAAGATTCTGAAGGTGAACGAGACCAACTAAGGAAGAGCTCCCAGACTTTTATCAAACCTCTTTATCCATATTTGATTAACATTTGAAAGGTTTCGATTTTCAATTAGGTCACCTGGTCATTTTTGCAAGAAGTGGTGCAAAATGAAATTCTCAATCTTTTTGAATCTTTCTCATTCTGATGTGTGTGTGGTATTTCATAACACGGAACGTGTTACATTGATAGGGTATTATATATGTACATTAACTCATTAAAGAAATCCTATGAATATTGTATAATACATATACAAGCAGACGACTCACTGTAATCATCATATTCACTCACGTTTATATCAACATAGGGAGCATGTTACATTATTGTAGGAGAGAACACTGTTGTTGTTAATGTATTGTCATTTGTACAGTTAGGCCTCAATTTGGGCAGAATGCACTCGATTTTGTAACGATACACAAGTGACTGCACCCATGCTCTTCTTTTTTTTTTTTTTGGTTACAAATGGGTCTTTTGTTCTGATTTCTAATCACCCAGTTTCATGAAAGATAATTTTGTAAACTTCTGGAATACAGCAGGGGAATGTCTTTGAGCAGATAGCACATGAAGGTGAAAAGCACCTTACAACATAAGTCACAAGATGAAAATTGTTTAAGTATTTGTCTGATTACCTTGGCAACAGGAACCCATAGCAACAGGGTCACATGGTTTTTGGTGTAAGAACTGAAAGTATACTATGATTAACTTTGATATTTCATTTGAAAGCTTAGTGCTATGGAAATGTGAAATGGATATATGTAGTCACCCCAAATCTGATTTTGAGCGTCTTAAGTCATCCACTAGAGACCATATTGCATAGAAACAAGAGGCAGTTTTCTCTTGTCTTACTTAAAAAGGTTTTTGGTACATGTAGTAACATTTCCGTCCTTTTAGGTCTACACTGTAGAGAGGATATCATGCTCTACTTTCATTACGTGGCATTAAAAAACTTGCATTCTTGGGACTTTGCTAAACCTGAGAATGGATCATGGGTTTTCTTAAAAAATGCTTTCTTGTTAGTTTTTTTCTGTGTATATATCAGAGGACATTCTAGTGAGATTGAAGATGTCTTATCATCTTTGGAGAGAGGGAAGGGGAGGGTGAAAGCAGTAAGATATTAATAAATGTAGGACAACCTGTTCAAACACAAATTCTGGGAGCGTAAGTGTACAGCAAACGTCTTGTTTTGGTGACGTAGAGTACTGCTTAGATGCTCCAAGATTTAGGCAGATGGACCACATTTCAGTTGCTAAACATTTTTTCTTTCCGTTGTTAAGACAGTTTCTTTGAGTTGACAGTAACAAAAGCTAGTGTAACAGAGTGTGCCGTGCTCTGAAACTGTAAGTTCATTTACGTGTATCTATATAGAAAATCTCAGATGTCTGTTACAGTATTAATTTGTACAGGGTAATTAGAAAAAGTGTAATTATGCAGTAAAGGGAAGATTGAAATAAGTGCTTTTTGTCTCTGTTCCCCATTTGGTACAGACTCCCACTGTATACTGTCATCAGTCATTCATTAAAGTGTTATTTTATTGGAATAAAACTATGCAAAATGCAGTTCCAGTCTTGTGGTTCTTTAATATATATATAGCACTCCACGCCTGGATCTCATGATAATGTAATTTAAAAGTAAACTTAAAGGGATAATAACTCTTCGTGTGAGAAAAACATTGTGAACAACTCATAGAAATATAATATATTCTGTTTTACCACAAAAACGGCAGTTACAGCTATTTTTTCTGATATCTGAGCTTGTCTTTAGACCACGTGACCTCCACTGATGGCTATACTCTGTTAAAATTTCTTAAGAGTTTTTAACAAAATAACCAAACTTTTTAGAAAAAAAAAACAGGGACTAACTTTGAATGTAAAAATGGATTCATTTACCATTGGTAAGTATGGGAAAATTGTTGTTTACTCCAGGAAAAAAAATTTTTTTGGCCGAAATGAAGAGTTATTATCCCTTTAAAACCTTCATCTTTTCTGGACATGTGCATTTAAATTGTTTGCTTTCTGCTGCTTCTGTAACCATGGTGACACTGACCGGTAGGCGTTGACCTGATGAATGCTACAGAAAAGATGAGAACTTAGTCTAAGTGGAAAGAATAAAATGGGTATGTCTGTATTAGTACAGAAACAAGTTTAATATCAAAACTTTATTAAAGAACAATTTGGGTCAATAATTGAAGTTCACAAACAAGTGTTCTAGTTTCCAATCCAGTAGGTTTGACAGTTCAATATAACAAATCTTTTATCAACTACAAAAATAGTTTGACATCATAATCTAGTAACACTGGTAAAATGATCAAACTCTTCACTTGAAAATAACTCTTTCTTCTAATTGAATACTTTGTGCTATAGCTGCACTTACAATTGAAAGCAAAACAATTTTAAATACATTAATTTCAACAGATTATCAAAAATAACAATTAACAAATTGTACCACAATAGTGTCTCATGTTATTGACCTCACAAGAATGATGACATCATAGCTATGACATCACAAGTCAAGTGACATCACACCATGATATCAAAATGTGATGATGTCGCAACTTCATGATGTCACACCTAGACGTCCGTACATGCAGTAGGTGATATTACAAGATGGCGGATTGAGCAGGTTATAGATCGGGTATCGCATCACACTTAGATGTTAGTACAGTAGGTGATGTTACAAGATGGCGGATTGGGCAGGTTATAGATAAAGTACGGCCCACAGTTACGCACAGTCACGGTGACGGGAAACTGACAACACTGGACAATGTGAGTGCACCCTTGGCCGATGTTTTCCTCCCCAGGGGAGGCAGGCTCCGTCCCACTGTACCAGGCGGGGTACGATGACCCACAGTGATTTACCGGGGGACACTGGAAGACAGAGACAGAGATGACACAGAAATATGAAATTATAAAGAATTGATAACACTAGATGATGTCGATATAGCAGTGTATTAGCTCTCTCATTGTGAAAAACGCATAAAGTGGAATAAAGCCTATTTTTCTTTAATCAAAAACCAATACTTAATACTGGATAATACATTTAACAGAAATCACTTTCACCATTTAAAATGAAAATGGCATGGGGGATGTTACAGAAGCATTGAATATGATGGTATAAATGTGTAATTCAGTGAAAAAAATAATTTATTTATCATTAATTTTCATGTATTTTAACCAACTTTCATATCTGGGACCATATATTTCTGTCAACTCACAGTAGTAGCCAGTTTGGTGCCGGCAGGGGGTACAATACGGTACCACTGTGTCACCCAGTCACCACTGTCACAGTGAGAGGTGACCCCTGCACCCAGGGTGACACTCCGCCAACTGTCACTGATGTTTACATAGGACAGCTCGTCACAGAAATCTGAAATAGAAGTTATAGATAACATTTATGTCTGACTCACTAAATTTAAGTGATGAACAGTGATATTGATAAAAAAGTGAAATATCTCATTAAGAGTAGCTGTCTCCTAGGAGTCACGAATATCAACAACTTCACATTACAGTATCCTTGCCGCTGTTTTACCTTTGAGTCAGGAAAATTAATTTTTTCTCTAAACAGTTATAAAAGATGACAACAGACTCAAGTCACAACGATAGTTATAACCACCAGATGTCAGTACAGTCAACTTACCCACACATGTGACTCCGTCTCCAGTGTAACCATAGTTACAACCACAGGAGAAGTTCCCCACTGTATTGGTACAGGTGGCGTGTACATCACAGCCGCCATTGTCCACAAGACACTCATTGATGTCTGGAATACAAGACACTTGTCATTCTTCAAGACAGATATGTGGACGTGCTTTAGGTTTTAGTTCAGTAACAAGTAAAAAGTTTATTTCATCAGAGTATTGTTAGCAGATACAGTGGAACTTTAACTGGTTGTGTAAGGTGTGATCTTAAGCCAGATGCTTCATAGTATGTTAGGTGTTAGTATATTTGTGAAAATGCAGTAGCAATGTGCTAGATGTGACAGTGTGTTAGATGTGACAATGTTTTGGGTGTGTCCACCATGTCAGCATGCCATACCTTCACAGGTGTATCCGTTCCCTGTGTAACCAGAGTTACAAGTACAGGTAAAGTTCCCTATGGTGTTGGTACAGTTGGCATTTGGATCACAGCTGTCATTGTAACTGATGCACTCATCAATGTCTACAAAATAAACATCACATTCACATCTCATTCACATTATAATTACAACTACACAGCTGTCATTGTAACTTGTGCACTCATCAATGTCTACAAAATAAACATAATAGGAGAATTTATGGATAATTTCATTCACTTTATAATTACAACTACATAGACATAGCTAGATATTTAACAAGGAACAAATATATGTCTGGAAAAAATCCTTAAACGTACTTATCATATGAAAATTGAAGGTTAATCTCGTTTATATTATAAATACAACAATATGGAAATAGCTTTGTGTATATTTGTGTGTGTGTGTGTAAATATATAAACATCTGGAAAAATATTCTGAACCAGACTTACACTGAAAATATAGACATCCAAACATCACCCCATCTCTACATACCTACACAACTGTATCCGTCCCCGAGAAAGCCGTTCAGACATGTACAGGTGAAACTGGCCAGTGTATTGGTACACAGTGCATGTTGATGGCAGCCACCATTGTCTGTCAGGCATTCATTGATGTCTGAATAAAAAGAAAGGAAAGAAACTTTAATATTTTGATTCAGGATCTTTGTATTCAAGAAGTCTATTCTAAATGGAAGACATTTCAACAACTGAAAATGACTAACCATCAGTGTGACAGCAGAAGTTCAAAATAATTAATAAATTACAATCAAAATCACTCAAGACTGAATTTAGATGCCCATAACGAAGCCATGATATCTTACCTTGACAAGTGAACCCGTCTCCAGTATATCCTGTATGACACGTGCAGACAAAACTGCCGTCCGTGTTAGTACACGTAGCACTGCTATCACAACCACCAGCATTGACTGCACATTCATCGACATCTGTAAATATACAGTTTATAATTAATAAACTCTTTATACAAGCAGTGGAAATCAGTTTACTGCAGAACAATGTTTCCAGTATGTCTCATTAGATCACAGTGTGCCAGGCAGAGTTTTTGACCCTTATTCACACTGATTATGGCTGTTCTTGCTTCCTTGGGGAAGATACAGCCCAGATGCTGTATATAGTAAAGCATGCAGTGATTAATTTTATACAGTGCAATAAAAATTACAACGATTTTGTATAGAAAGTATTTTAGTATTAGAAACTGCAATGGATTATAGGTATAATGACAGTAATAAAAAGGTACATATTGTCTATGTCTATTGTCTATGCATGTATATCACTACTAATTAACTGATCAACACATCATATGCTGACATATATGCTAACTTTTTGCTTTCTGCAGAGGCACCAGACATACCTGTGCAATCATAGCCATCACCATTGTAACCAATATTACAGGAGCAGGTTAACTCGTCACCAGTGTCGACGCACATAGCATTACTGTCACATGGGGTGTTGCCACGGTAACACTGACTGATGTCTGAAATATAGGGGGCAGGTCTATCAGTCCATTAGGCATCATGCAATTTGAGAGAAATTTTGAGGTCTACATAATGTAGTAAGAATTTCATATAATAAAAACATATCACAAACGCTTCTTTTTTATTAAAAAAAGGAAAAAAAGTGTCAACAACAAATTTAGTTAAACTTCCGAACAACATCATGAAGACCAACAAAAATCTTAACTCACCCATGCAGGAAAATCCATCCCCACTGTAGAACATGTTACAGGTGCAGGTAAAGCTGCCAATGCTGTTGGTGCACACGGCGTTCTCGTCACACCCACCATCATCCACTGAACACTCATTTATATCTGGTGAAATATTAATATCAAACTCATATAGTGTTTAGTTCAGGGGGTGGAAAGTTTGCAGGGAAAAACAGAACTTCTATATAAATTGATAGACTAGGAATTCTGATCAACTCTACAATTTGAAATCAAATCCACATCAGATTCTTTCTTTATCCTGACTTGAAGAGTTTAACATTTTCCTATTATATAGTAACAGAAGTTTTTATCTTAGTTCAATTTTACTCAATTTTTTTTCTATCCCCTGCCATATCTCTCAGAAATGTGTGACACTGGCTGTCAATTTTTTTTTATTTATTTGTCATAGTATGATTACTTCAAAATAAAACAACCTATGGAACAATCCATCTTACAGTAAAACTAGAATAAAAACAATTAAATTGGCCATTATAAAAAGCCAGTGAACTGACCATGTTTATTTACCTTCACAGAAGAATCCATCCCCAGAAAACCCTTCCAGGCAAGAACAGGAAAAATTTCCAGCAGTGTTATTACATTCAGCAAACACATCACAGGTGCCATTAAACAGACATTCATTGATGTCTGGAATAAAGAGGAACGTATAGGTTGAGATTGTGTTAGATGTGACAGTGTGTTAGATGAGACAGTGTTAGGTGTGAATGTGTTCTTAATTTTTACCATGTATGTGTTAGGTGTGACAGCATATTGGACATGGCAACGCTATAGTAGTAATCATACTTAAACACTGTGTATAATTAAACACTGTATACTTAAACAATGTGGCCTGTCTTACATACATTTAAGAAAACTAAATCAGTCTAGTTCAAAGTCCACTTCCCCCTTACCTTCACACCACACTCCATCCCCAGTATACCCTGGGTGACAGGTACATGTAAAGTTCCCAGGTGTGTTAATACACTTCCCCCCTTACCTTCACACCACACTCCGTCCCCAGTAAAGCCAGGATGACAGGTACAAGTAAAGTTCCCAGGTGTGTTAGTACAGTCAGCATCAGCAGAACAGCCACCATGGTCTACAGCACACTCATTGATGTCTGGAGGAGAGCGATAAGAGTTATTGAGAATGTTTTTTTTTTTTTTTTTGGTCTGAAACAATTTCTGAATGGCATTATTACAATTAGTTATATGACATTGTTTCATCTTAACCAAATTTCAGGAGCCTGTCTGTGACATTGGAGAGACATCACCATGGCATTGGAGAGACATTAGGCATTGTGATGTGTTTGGATAACTGTCTGTGTGACATTTATGTGACATTAGTGTGACATTGAAAAAGCGTTAAGGTGACATCACTGTGGCAGTTGTCATTCCACCCCATATATATGTTACAGTGTTACAGGGATGTAACTGATAGTTACAGAGCAGAAGGGATGGTGGGGTGTTGGGAATAGGACCTGGGGGGGGGAGGGGGGTGAAAGGAGGGGGAGGTTGGAGGTGGGTGTTCAGGTATTTGGGGGTAGGGGTGGGGTGATTTGGTAAGACAAATTGATTTTTTCTTTGCCCAAATTTAAAAGTTTTTTTAGTGTGTGTGGCTGAAAACTTCCAGTGCTATTCATGAGCATAGAAACGTATAGTCCTATCACCTTGCTGAGTTCTATTGTCTGAGCCACAGTTGTGTCAATTCACGACAGGAAAACTGAGGAATTGCATTGAAGGTAACCATATTGTGTAAACAGATACGGAACACTCACCACCTTTTAGATTTTTAGATCACAATCTCTTTATTTACCACTGACAGCTGGTGCGGAAGAAAAAAAAATTGATATTTTATCCCAGTGGTGCCATGGCTTAAGCAGGCATAAAAGTATTCGCACCTTTCTGATTGTAGTCTGTCACTCTGATTGTAGATGTCTCAAAAAAGCGTGGCTTTCATGAAAGAGATTTAAAGATGTTTATTTTCAATAGATATTTTATTTATTTCATGGTATAGAGGGTTGGTCATAGACAAAAATCGAAGCAAATATTTTCTGTTACAATTCGGAACACACTGCAAAATCCTCAAGTGCACAGAGTTGGTAATGTCTTCAGGGGATAAAAAAAATGGCGTCATGGAATTTCATCCAGTTTTTGTACCACCGTGAACTGCTTCTCAGGTGAGAAAATAAGCCCAGCAAAGACAGCTGAAGTAAAAAGGTGCACAAAACACTTGAATGTGTGTTGTTTCAGTCATTGTGTCCAACACATAACACCGGTTTTAACCGGTCTTTCTTCCATCATCGTCGAGGTCAGCGCCTCTCAATACCCAATGTAGCACAAGCGCAGAGCTGGATCAATGGCTGACAATGTCCTACAATTCACTCCAATCATCGAACCCCTTAATTTATGACTCACGCGTGCCCCTTTATTCAAGTTTGACGCCCCTTATTTCAGAAATCACTGCCCCCAGACAAGCCTCTGTTGATTTTGTATTTAGAGGTTTCTTTGTGAACTGGTTTGGTATTGTGGAAAACTTACTGTTGACAATTTCATAGTCTATTTGTGATGGTTGACAAGGGAAGAAGTAACCAGTGCATTGCCTGCCTGTTGTAACCAGCTGTTACGTGTATTGATATCCAAGGCGCTGTTTTTGGCCGAGATGCCAAATTTTAATTTCTCACAAGGAGAGTAACTTGATATAAGAACTAATTTTTACGATGCAACACCTTCTGTGTAACCTGTGAATGGGCGGTTCAGTTTTCAAAATATCTTTCACCTATTGGTAACAACTTAATTTTCACCCCCTTTTGTTATCTGTTAGGATTTTTTTCACTTTTGGAATTAGATTTTACGACTACACAAGCAGATATAATGACTTGACATCTTGTTTCTGTCATTTCTGTCAAAGCTTTCGTTTCAATATTTTTGTAAGGTTATTTCAAAATATAAAAGATGTTCTATGAAGGATCTTATCCATAACGTGTTTTTCAGTTTCATTGTAAGAGCACCTCTCTGTTGAGAACAATTTTTGTATTGACAACCACTGTGTTGTTGTTGAGCTGAAATGATTGAACGTTTAGAATGAAATCATTCATGATCTGAAGTGCAACTGATATATGTTTTTGTAGTTTGAAGGTTGTCATCTCGCCTGTCATGAAACTTGTCAAATCCCCAGACACAAGTTCAGGTACAATGGTTCTATTATCAAGATCTGAAATTAGTTTCATCTGTTCATTCAGACGTTACTGCACGAAAAAAAAAGATCAAAAATTGGACATGGTGATGATGATCTGAAATATGAAAAGCACGTGTCTTTCTGATGTCACATTATGTCACCAGTGTTTATGATATTTCAATGCTGTCATTTGCTTTATCAGCATGAAGACTGAGAAAACAATTTCCCAGTGGAAAAATCTGTCTCGTTTCAAATCTGTATTATTTCATCCAGCAATTTCTCAGTCTGATACACCCACTAGAATATGATTCAAGAATGAATTCCCTCGATAGTAAGCAAAGATTTCTGTCTCCATCTTAAAAGCTGTCTACGTTCTACCTCAATGTGGGCATTTCATCTGGATAGCGATAAGATGAGATATGTTCAGATCTTAACTTGACTTCGTTCACATTCTATTGATTCTGGTCATGCTCGGTTTTCATTTCGTCGTAACTAAACATCATGGCGGTTACTCTCTCTTTGTAATAAACATGTCTTGCAGAATGTTAATGCTTCATTCAGACCAACCGTCATACTTTGATGTACAAATATGACTCCATCTAAATGACTTGCTGTTATGTGGTATGCAGAATTAAATGAGAAATGAGCATGCACTGTCACTGTTTAAGTTGTCATGTTTTTCTTTAATCCACGACCATAAATGAAATGAAAATTTATATTGCTGTATAGGGTCTTAGGATAGATTTTCTTAAAGAAATCCCTTCAAAGATAAAGTAACGTCCAAATTGATCAGAAACGATGCCATTTACCAATTATTGAAGGTCTCATCTTAGTGCTATGATTGTAGCTGAAAATCCCTCCCCGGGAGAGAGTTTTACGTCTGTGAGTCCTACAAAGATTCTTGACGGTCTATTGATTAAATAATTCAATTTGGCCGAGGTCTTTCTCTGGTACTGCTGCATTCTGAGTGTGGAATCAATATCTGGGAACTTATCAACATTGTAGTGTTTTATTTGAAGGAAAGAGTGAACAAATAAGTTATTGCTGATCAAGTAAGATTGTATATTTCTAGAATGGAATATTTAGTGTACAGTGATGTGTAGCAAGGCTGAAGTCTTCAGTTGTATTATAGATGTTAGAGCAGACCCTCAGGCTAGATAAAAACTTGTACAGACAACAGTAATGAATAGCATGTTGTTAATCCTCGTGAACAGCATTTAGTTATTAAAAGATTGCCTCCTCTTGCATCAAGTGTGTAGTTATTTACTGAGAGAAACAAACCAGAAAAGAAGTAATAAATAACAATGCTATTTTGTCTAGTATCTTCAGCTACACAGAAGCCAGACTGTTATCGGCAGGTTATCTCAGCCACTGTGTAGAGGCCATTAGTGTCAAGGAGAACCACCAAAATATCATCATCTACCTGGGATGTTGGAAACGTCTGACGTAAATCTTCCCCATTAACTAACTGAGGTTTTATTTATGTTTCTGTGTATATTGCTGTGGTAAGATAGGTTAGAGGACGCAGAGATAAAATTTCTTTTAGTTCTAGAGCAGGGTGGTTTTCTAAAGTCAGTTTTTGGAAATTGAAAAAAAAAATGATGTAGCAAAAAAAAAAAAAAAATGTTTTCCCTAGCCAAAGTGGAAAAAGTGAAGCAGTGAGTTAACCAACCAGGGGTTCATGGTAGCAAAGAACATTTTTACCTCTTGTTGGTATTGTAGTGCATTTCCATCATCAGATACAACTATTCATTCTCTGTCCTTGACGCTGTATTCCTATCTCTCCAGCTCATAGCTCATTACTGTCAGAGAGGTGACCACAAGTTGATGCAAGAAATCGGTAATTTTGACTTATTGTGTCGAATAAGCCGCTTAGCAGATAGAAAGCTGCATTTCCTCCAGGCAATCTGGTCCACAAATCTGGATTTAATTGGGTACAATAGCACAATTAATGACAAAGGTTTGCTCTATCTCGCTGGCAGCATGTCATGTCGCTGATGCTGTAAATTGGCAGTAATATTGTGAATTCCTGTTGAAGACTTCAGTGCTGTTTGTACAAGGTTATGTATATGGGGAAGAATGTGGCACCATTAGTGTTGTGTTAGACTGCAAGTAGTGATTTTATTCATTTCTTCCCCCTCCCTTTCTTTCTCCTTTTTAATGATGATCGGATGCCTTGCGTGGAACTTTGTTGTTGGGCACAGTTTGGCTCTTTCTTATCCCTCTTAGAGAATTTTCTCCTGTTTAAGAGAAATAAGGTAGTTGTTGAAGGTATGAAATTTTCAAAACTAGAGAAGTTTTTTTTTCAGTCCTTTTCCGTCAAATCCCTTTCCTGTAAAAGTTTCATTTGCAATCTGTGTTCATGCCTTTCATTTAATAAAGATTTGTTTTAAGTCAACGCAGTATTTAAACAGCTACCAAAGAAATCTTTGACAATCTGGACTCCATCCACCACCTTTCTCTGCCAGGATTTTTCCAGTCTAGACTTCCTTTTGATAGAATAAGTACTGTAACACAGTCAGCATGTGGAGTGCCATCTGCCCTCGATCAAATTGTATTTAAAATTCAATTTCAGGTTATTTAGAAATTGGTAACACTCAGCTTGTGCCTTAATTTAATGTGGTAACACTCCCCTCCCCTTCTTAAATCAAACCCAAGCTTGTGGTAGTTTTTTTTCACCACACTGTTTAAACTGAACCCCTCTTTCCAAACTTGTTTGTATTGTAAATGTTGAACACATTTCACTGGAGGCTATAGGATGGTGACCTTGATTGACCCCAGTGTGACCTTGGTTGACCTTATTCTGACCTTGATTGACCTCACTGTTTGAGGTCATAGTAAAACAATGAGGACTGGGCTCAGGTTTCTGACACTTGACTGATGAGGGTTGTAATAGCTGGAGGTGTCAGGGAGGAGTGGACTGAGTTCATATTCTGTGTGTACTCTGAGTAAGTCCATGTGGGGCATAGCTGCATAGCACATGGTACTTCTGCTGCACAGACATGTATTCTTGTAAACCTACATACAGTGTATTTATTTGTGTTCATGTGTGCATTCATTTATGTATGTTCCTATGTATGTATGTATGTATGTATGCGTGTGCATATGATATGTGTGTGTAAGTATATTTACATATATGTATGGGTGTGTGTGTGTAATTATGTGTTATGCATCNCTCCTTCTAAGATTTATCACCAAGATATGAAAATTGTGCCAATTAAAAGGCAAATTGGGGTTAATTACCATCCTCAACATGCGATAAGCCATAGATGAGAGATACTCCTACTCCATAAAATAGTTCCTTAATACGTAAGAATATCCCATTGAATGGCGTGTAAGCGCTGTTAAATAAGGTCAGAGGCAGGTTAATTGGTGTGTGTAATCAGAGAAAAATGCCTGGCACCTGTTTGCCCATTAATAAAACTCTTTGGGATCTTATTTTCAGGAGATTGATCACCTGGCGGAAAGAATGCAATTAGAAACGAATGATAACAGTTCTATTGTCATTAGATGTGAACTACGAGGAAATGCAGCAGTTTATTGCACTGTTAGCATGCATTGTTTGTGTGAAATGCTGGATTGAAGTGTACTTCATTCACTAAATGAATGATGGATAGTATAAGTTGACTGTTATGATAGTAGCACGTTATGTACAGGTACATAGTCTTAACGTCTATGATATGGAGTACGGGTTTTATTCAAGAATTTTATCGCTCTGAGATTTGATTTTTAAAAAATCTAAATAACATGTTAAGAGATGCATTCTGGATTAAACAAATCTCAAAATTTTGATTATGAAAGTGTATATTGGCCTGATTGACTTTTTTTTTGACAATATTCAAAAATGTTCCACCAAGTCTTAGTTCCCTCAAGTCAAGAGATCCCTCAAAGCTCTGGTAATTTGTGTGTTAATTCACTGAACGTAATTTTATACCTGGGGAAATGTTTACTAGTTTTGTTAGTTCCGAAATGGACGTTAATCCTCAAGTGTAGATTTCTAGTAGATTTTCCCTTCATTAGGCGTTCTCTGCGGACAGCTGATCAAGCCGCACATAAATCATGGCGTATTTAGTACACATGGACGTCTGTTACTTCTGAAGAGGTTGATTGTCCCTAGCAGTTAAGAATTGGACATATAAATAGGTGATAATAGAGTTCAAATATGATAAAGACATAAAACTGGGAATTACAAACTTGTCAGTTTGCTTATAGTACATTTAGGAACCTGGATTTCATTGGTGGTAGTTGTTAGTGGCTTAGGCTTTCCCTTAACTGATGATAATCAATTATGGCAATCAGTTTGTCATGTTGCATCATAACATATGTTCTGGAATCTTTGCCATATTGTAATTCACCTGTTTATATGATAATCGGCATAAGTGGAGGTATCTAAATGCGCTGGGGATTTCAACTTAAATATGACCATACAGTTTAGTTTGGGAGTTGGTGTGGGGGAAGGGGAGAGCGTGGAAAGATAGTTGTTCTGTTTGAAAATGAAAGAAAAAAAAAAGAAAAAACCAAAAAGCGGAAGGGTTCTTAAGAGAGTAAAGCAAGGTAAACCAAGTATATTTGAGCAGTTATGAAGTAATCTGAGGCTGACCTCCTAGGCAGCAGTGACATTCCAAACAGTTGCCTTCTCTGACCTCCTTGTAGCACCTGCCACTGCCCCCAGAATATCCAGAATAACTTTGTTGTGTCTAGATATGCCTAGAGATGTTGTGAGGCTAGACTCATGTACTTGGAACCATTCTTTAATAGTTTGGAAAGAAATCATAGAATAGCAATTATTGAAAGCCTTTTCTGCGGTAATGCATTGAAGTTATTCCTTTTAAGGAGGAAGAATGTATTTAATGACATTGGATTCACATACAAAGCATGCACACAATTCATTTGCTCACATTGAAGATTTCTGAGGCATTCACATTAAAAAAATTAATTTGATGTTCAGTGTTTTCCATACAAAAACAATCCTCAGCACCAATGAAAAATGACTCGCATTTTCTAACACATTGACAAACAGAGAATTTTAATTGACCCCCTTGTATGTATATATGATATGAATCCTTGTGTTCAAAACATCAGGATACATATCATATGCATACATTCAAATTAACTTGCAAGTATGACACTTGTGGAATGTGTGTGGTATCACTGACGGCGTGTGTTATGAAAGTTACTGCAGTCTTCGGGCAATGTTATGTGTTTGTGTGAAGATATTTCTATTACTTTGGCTGCCTGCTCTTACCTGTACATCCATGTCCAAGTGGTGGCTGGTAGAAATGAGCACTTCGAGAAAATAATTAAACTCTGTAAAATGTTTTTGTTTTTGATGAGGAAGACAGATAAAATGAGATGCATGTAGTTGTGCGGAAAGAAACAGCTTTAGAAGATTTTAAAGAGGCTGTAGTGGTTTGGTAAATAAACATTAGCAAAATATCTACTGCCTTATTTTCCATATTCAAGTCTTATTTTTACTGGTGTAAACTGGTTTTTTTATACTGGAAGACCTGTGTGTTATTTTTAAAGCTGACTTTGAGTGACAGCATACATAATCCAGTTCTCATTTTTTGTGTCCAGTAGATTGAGATATATTGAAAGCTGGAAACGCCACAAAACCCAACACATTCTCTTCCAATTTTATGCCCGAGTTGGTCGCACCCATAAAAATGACCCTCTCAATGAAAACCCTGCCATCTTGATGGTCTCCTGTAACACAAGAAAAGCAATTGAAACCCAATCATTGAGTTAAAGCTGAAGTGATATTCTCTGGTAGAGAAAACATCAGAACCTCTTTCACATAAAAAGAGTGGGAATTAAGAAAATAAAGTCTGTTTAGAAGGATCCTGTAAGAAGAAACCACCTGCAAATGAAACGATCACAGATAGCTGACATCAAAGAGATTTTTGCGAAAGTTGAGGTTGTGATGAGACTTGGGAATCTGCCTCTTCTGACCTTCTTTAATCTATGCACTTTGTGGCAGGTTCCACAATAGAGCCATAGACCGAATTGTGGGCTGAACTTTAAGATGGAATATTTTGGACTACCTCAGTTCAGGAAAAATCTTTAGTAGTTCGTTAGAATAAATAAACTATTAGTTGACAGTAAGACCAATTTTATTCTATTGTATCACAAAATGTTGATTCATTTGAGTGGACCAAAATAGATTGGTTGTAGTAGACTTGTAGCTTTGGCTCTAATGTTAAGACCAACTCTCAGTTTTTAATTCCTCTGTGGAACCAGACTCGAGTAAATGTAAAATATGACATGATTGGCTGTGAGGGGAGGTTGCCAGGTGACTTGTGAAATGAACGCTGTACGCCTCCATTGTAAAGTTCGTGCCAAGTTCACCTGGTTCAGGCTTTAGCAGATAAGTGTCCGTAAAGGAGATCAAATTGAATTAATTTGGTTTTTTTTTTCTGAAGTTTTTCATCAGTGTTTTTTCCCCCCAGTTGCATCAGATTAAAATACCTTTGCTGGCTGATACTGAGATGGATGAGATAAAAAGATCACTTCTTTTAACCTTGATTTTTTTTTTAAGAAAAATGGTCCTCATCAAAATGTATTGAAGTCTGCGTATGTGCTGTCTGTTGAGGTTGGAATGTGGTTGCATGTTAGGAATGATGAAATATTTAATTTCTGTGAAAAATGTTTATGGATAAATAACCTCTACTTACCCTATTTAGTAAGAATGAGGAAAAAAATTGTCTTGAAATTTATCTTGGTTTACCATATTACAACATCCTTACCATATTAAGTATTAATAGAATTCTTGGATTGATATTCCTTTACCATATTACCTCTTTGTTTGGAAAATAGTATTTCGTGATCTGTCTAACTTTCTACTTGTTATCCATTTCAGAGTTTTTCACAGAGCTATTAGAAAATGGCAGGAAGGATTTCCACTCCATGTTTGTCAGGACATACGGCCAGTTATATCAACAGAACGCACACATATTTAATGACTTGTTCACTGACCTACGCAGTTACTACAGAGGGAGAAATATCAATCTTTTAGACGCCCTGGAGAACTTTTTCGCAACCTTATTCCAACGAATGTTCCAGTTGCTGAATGCGCAGTACGAGTTGGACCAGTCGTACTTGGGGTGCGTCGCAAATACGATGGATAAGCTGAATCCATTTGGAGATGTACCGCAGAAATTTTCCCAGCAGCTGAAGAGGTCGTTTGTTGCTGCGCGCACGTTCATGCAGGGGCTTGCGATTGGAAGAGATGTCATTTTACAAGTTGGAAAGGTAATTTGTGAAAAAAAGGGAAGATGGATGTTTTTGATTTGTCAGAGTGTTAAATCACTTACCAGGAGAACATGAACCTGCGAAAGAATGTAAACTTAAAGATAAAAAGAAAAATTTACATAAAATAATTTTGAAGTAGTCTTACTTTGATTATTACTAAAGTGAAAATCTAAAAAAATTCCATCTTTGTTTTGGAAAGTTGCTCTGGGTGTTATCTTAACTATAGTTGGTTTCAGAATACTCAGGAATTGAAGAGCTTTAGCCCCTGCATTGAAAATTCACAGGCCCCAAAATAAAATGAAAAAAAGCAAAGAAAAAACAAAATGAAGTCCAAACTTTTCTTCTTCATTGAACCAATTAGGGCTTAATTTGCTTGTTACGTCTGATTACATCTCGTTACGACCGATTACATGCGGTTACGTTTCTCATCACGTTTGATTGGTTGCACAATATTCAGCGGTGAGTTTTTATCCCTGTAGGGGAAGTGGGAGTTTCCAGTACAACGTACCGTCTGTTTTGATAGCCAGTGCATTTAGCAGATTCGGAAACCTGCTGTAATCTAACAGTGTTGTTTCATCATTCTTTGATTACGTCTTTGTTTATTTTCTTGTCGGGAGTTTGTGTGTGTAAGTAGAAAAAGTTGGCTTTTTTCATTTTGGAATATATTTGACTTGTTCTTCATAGGGAAAAGTGCAAATTGCAGAAAATTTCCTTTTTTCCAAAAGAGAAAAAAATGGACAACACCTATTCCAAAGAATTCATTAAAAAACTGTTGTGAAGAAATATATTTAAAAAAAAAAACATGGTAATCATCATCTATTAACAATTGTTCTAAATAAAGCAACCACAAAATGATATTGAATGACTTTCTTCATAAGATATCACTATGTCTCGCTATCATACTCTAAATCGCGGTAAAATTTGGTAGTTCACTTGTCATTACAAGCCATAAAACATGCTTTATATGATATATTTTTTAATTTTGTTATTGTCAAAGCATCAAATGGACGCAGTTTATCTAAAGTGTACAATAAAATGATTGTTTTAACTTGCATGAGGAACATGTTTTAGGAGTTACTCTGTCTAAATAGACTCTTTTTTGTGAACAACGTTTCCTCTGATCAATTGTGTAGTCCTTCTTATATGAACTGCTATTCTTACATGATGATAAAGGTGGCAGGAAAAACTAAATTAGTATTTTGATGTCACCTAACCTCCCTTTTTGCTCTGATGCATCAGTGTTACAAAACTCCTCCTTTCAAATGGAAAATAACCCGTCTAAACAAAGAAAGCTATACATGATTGAAAAATAATCAAAAAATATTGCAGAAATTGTCTGATCATGCTTGTCACTTTGAAAAGTACAAAGATTTATTTAGTCTGAAGCCAGACCTTTAAGCTGATTGCTTCAGACCACATGGTTCAGTTGCAGACTGCTTCTGGGGGCTCATTTCCAATGAAACTATTGCTCTACTGTATGTAGACCAATCCAACTCTGCAGAGACTCTTGCTGAATGCAATCAAGTTAACAGATTTACCATGCCTCCCCTTGGTGTTGAGAAGAATACAGAAAAGCTGGTTATTATATGAGTACAATGGAAACAAGAGTAGGCTTATGTCTCTATTTCTTCCATTTTAGATCCAGCCCTGCCACAACTGTAGGAAGTCACTGATGAAGATGATGTACTGCTCCTACTGCAGTGGATTGCCCACCATTAAGCCTTGCAATAATTACTGTCTCAATGTTATGAAGGGTTGCCTTGCCTACCAGGCTGAGCTGAACTCTGAATGGAACAAATATATCAGTAAGTTATCACATCGTAGGGATGAGTACTTAATTGGTAATATTATTCTTTTTCTACCAGAAATTCTGTTTAGGATTATGTGATAGCCTTGAATACTTGCAAATGAAAGTTGTCAGGGTGTTAAGATACATTAAAGTATCTGTGTGTCTGTGTGTATGACTAGCCATTTGTGTCCTGTATGTTGATATATCCCTAGCTCTGTATATGGCTAAAAGAAGTGACAATTTAGAAAAGGACCCACTGGTGACATAGTACAGAGGCCCCTGTCCTGTCAAATAGCAGGTAAACGTTCATCAGGTACAACTTTCCACATGCAAGGTTCAAAAGGTGACCATCTTAAGTCAACATTTTTCTTTGGTCTGTGGCATCACTGCCAATCTTTAAATAGTTTCCATTTAGGCAAGAACACAGGGATTAAGTTCTTCCATATAGAGTCTAAAATGTCTGGGCCAAGAGTTCACAACCTGGAGTCAGGTGACAGCATCAGGTGACCAGTCCTGACCAATCACCGTCATCCATGTTCAGTGGTAACATTATGGGATGTGGAAGTGGACAAACATGAATTATTTGATACCTGAGTTCTAATAATCCATTTCCAGGACCTTAGAGGTTATAACATTATAACATGAGGGGCCCTGGGAGTGTATAAAGCTGGTGTAAAGAGTAACAGGACTCTTGAAATCCTAACATTCAGGTGTATTGTTCATTGGGTCATTAAGTGGGCAGTTGTCCACTGGACTGGAGTGGACCCAGGGTGGACACAGGGGAGGAGCTGATTAAGATGGATTACCAGGTGTTAATCCTCATTAATCCCCAATTGTTGATACATTAGTCATCCTATACTGATGTAGAGAAGTTTGTAAAGAGGGCGGGGTCGGGGGTGGGGGGGGGGGAGAAGATTTGTCATAAGGCATGTTTATGTTCTGTATCTGAATATTTTTCTTTCACACATAAATGTGTGCACGTGCAACACACACACACACACACACACACACACACACACACGCACACACAGCATTATCAGTCCAATAGCAGTAAAATCCTATTTGAAGTTATGGTGTTATTGTCTCTTCTGTCTGGGTTATTTCAGCAGGTATGCAGAATCAGTGGAGATATTCCAGTCAATATTTTGCTAACCTTCGCCAGCAGTTTGATCTCCTCTCCCTCAGAACAACATACTTCTCATACTTGACATTCCTGCCTCCTTCCACTGGAGAAGTTCAATATTGACAGTCTCTGAGGGAATTGTGGCTTGAAGGGTCCGGCTTACAGAGGCCACTGTTGTGTCTGTCCACTTCTTGTTGACCTGTGTCTACTGACATAGGCCTTTTGTTGATACACTCAGTGTTGACCTATTGTTGACCTGTTGTTGACCTGTTGTTGACATTGTATGACAGACTAGATGTGGATGCCTTTGTAAATATGAACTTAGACTGAAGGGGCTTATGATGTTACAACATTTGACAAAATGTAGCCCCTTTTACCTGGGGCATTCAAAACCCAAGTATAGACAGTGAACAAACTTGATATTTTCAGTGTCACTGGGTATTCCTCAAATATTCAGATTTTTACAGGATTTGCGCAAGAACTCGAAATTTAACCTGAATAATTTAGCCCTTGTGATAAAAGTTCAACATAGCTGTTCCATTAAAATTTTGCTCTCAAGAAAGAAAGAAATGCCTGGAAATTGTCTTCTTGTTGTCTGTATTGCTGTACAGTTTGTACACATGTACTGTTTAGTTTGTACATATGTGGTATGAGGGCCATACCATAAATACACAGCTACAAATATTTGGATTTGAGAATGAAAGAAACAGGGTTTGGAAAAAGAAGAAAGAAAACAGGTTCAACATTCCAACTGTTGATAGATTAATAAGAGGAGGAAAATACGTCATAATTCCCAACCCAAAACCCATGTCTTTACTCTAAAAAAAAAAAAGGCGTTTCATGATAATTATATAATCATGAGCTTTGAATGCCCTCAGATTATGTT